GTTTCTGGATGGTCGCTTTGGAACTTTCGGTGGTCTGATGCCAATGAGGCAGCCTACCATCGAAGCCTGCTGGGGGACCTCGGGCCGGTCACACGCGCTCCACCCAAGCTACCTCCCAGGGCTGTCGTCAACATCAAACAGAGGAGAGAAGAACCACGTAAGCCCCTTTGGGCACTCCTCACTGGGGAGAAAGGCAGGGTACTAAAAGAAGGAAAATAAATAAAGCTGTTGCCTCCTGCACTTCTCTGAGGTAGCTCCTGCTCAGCTGAGGTAGAGGAAAGGCTTTGGGGAGCACGGAAGTGGGCCTCGGGAAACCCAGTAACGGGGAGTGTGCTGGGATAAAACTAGGGTTGGCAACCTCCAAGTGAGGCTGGGAGATCTCTGGGCATTACAACTCATCTCTAAACAACAGAGATCAGTTCCCCTGGAGAAAATGGCTGCTCTGGAGGGTGGACTCCACGGTACTGTACCCTCCTGAGGTCCCCCCCTTCCCAAAACGCTGCCCTCCCCAGGCTCCATCCCCAAAATCTCCAGGTATTTCCCAACCCAAAGCTGGCAACCCTAGCTAAAACACCCTGAAAGGTACGACTGCATTCAAAAAGACCAATGCAAAAAGCAAAACTCCACACCAGGATGCGGTTTCTTCTGCGAACGGCTAAAAATAGAAGCAAAGTCCTTCTGAGGAAAGGCCTTGTGTATGTTCTCTGAAAACCCAGAGAGTCACGCTGCACAGCAAAAGGCTTTCAAATTTATCCATGGCTTCTTTAAAACAATCCCCACCACCACCACCCCGTAATGCGGCTTTCCAATTTGAACCAACCAGCAGAGAGACAGAGAAAGACCCGACACCAAACCGTTATCTACCCCCAGAGCGGAGAGCAACTGGGCATCTTACACGAGAAACACTTGGGAGCTGCCTTTGCTTTGGACATCACACACGTGGAAACCTTCTTACATTGACTATTGGATACTGGGAAACAGAAAAAGGAATTGGCAGCAGGTTTAGTTCCATCGACAAAACTCGTTTGCACAGGTCAGTAGTGCCCCCCCCCCACACCCCTTTTCAAAGATAAATACAGTTTCATGACAACTGACTTTGCGGTAACTCATTCAAAGTCCTTCCTTCCCGGAGTGGTCCGCTTCCAACAGGAGACTGCAAGTGTCAACACAGATGTCACCGGGACTCTCCGGGTTCATTAGGCATTTTTGAAGAACTCAAGATTCATTTCATGATTGTGAAATTCAGGTTATCTCCAAACAAAGCAAACTCCGTCCCAGTCTCTCTGTGAAAGCCAGTTCCCAGCAAGCCGGTCACACTGTAGTGCACGCAGAACCAATACACAGAACCTGCACTGAGGTTATTAAGGCCCAATGATACAAGATATTTTTAATGAGGACCCGACTCACTTTCATTTTTAAAGCCTGTGGGGGACCTGATTCGGCTCAGGATCTTGGTGTTAGGAGAAGACGGGCTCCGGCTTCTCCCCTGTGGCATCTTACCGAGCTGAAAAAGGCCTGGAGGGTAGTTATTTATATTGCTTTGGACTTGCCCATGCACAGAGTGCCCCACATGCAGTCGGACCCAATGAGTTAAAAGATGTTTTGGGTCGTTAGGCCTGAAGTGGACAGGGCCAGTGTTCCCTCTAAGCTGAGTTAGTGTGAGCTAGCTCACAGTTTTTTAGCCTCCAGCTCACACATTTTCGCCTTAGCTCAGGAAGGAGGGCTCCAGAGCAAACTAGTTTATGCAGCAGCCAAATTGCTTGCTTACAACTTTAATGCTGGCAGCTCACAAAGTAGAATTTTTGCTCACAAGACTCCACAGCTTAGAGGGAACATTGGACAGGGCTACTGCAGGTAGAAACTGGCACAGTTGTCAATAGCCAGGGGTCGCTGTGGGAGGAAGATAGTTTAGCCTACACCTGGTGGTGTCGGAATATTACCAATTTATTTTTTCCCCCATATAAGTGAACGGTAGATATCCACTCCTATGGGGGAAAGTGAAATACTAAGCTGGGGACACTATTGCAGCGAAGGAAAGATCTACCCTCCGGCCTTCACATGGTGTGTTCTATTTTCCTTCACAGGAAACCAGCAGAAAGGAGGAATATTACCTCATATATTCTTCCCACAAAGCCTTGTGGCATACAAACAATGTGTCCACATATATATCACTGTCAAACATTGTTTGTGTGTGTGTGTGTGGGTGCTAGTACATAATAAAAATACACTATGAGCCAGCAGATTGATCATCTCCTTGACTCTCCTCCTGTAGCTGAAGAAAAATGGGTCACCTTGGCCAATGAAGCCACACTGGGAACTCTATGAAACAATACTTCAGGTTCTATGTCACCATTTTGTCAGTATCTGGTAGCTTCCTTCCCCAAACTTCCCCAATACTGGGCCACTACCATTCTGGCAACCTTCAATACATTTAATACCAGTTCCAGACTTTCCTTTTTACCGACAATTTCCAAATGATAAGGATATGAGGTAATCTGATAACTGAACATTTCCGGAACATTCTTCAAAACTAGTTTTCAGAAATTTTGCATCCAAAAGATACTGGGTTTTCCCCCCCATATTTCCTAGGACCCTGTTGGAATGTTTCTATGTCACCGCTGAAAATTTGCAGCAGGGCTGACGGGCCTTGCCGAGAGGCATATGCAATCTGATTACTCAAGAAAATAATCACTCAGGACAAAAGCAAGATCTTCATGAGTGTTTGGAACTAGCCAAATATCCACTGCTAGCAACACGGCTGCGACTAGAGTCTCAGTCTTCTTGAATTCTGGGCTTTCGTGGCTGGCTGCCGCCACTGAGTATGGGAAAAAAACCAGGCTGGCCACTATATAGAATTATCTTCATGAATGCCCATTTAAATTGTCCACTGCCATGAAATTAGGATGGATAGCAAAGAAACTTCCCTTATAAGGCCAGTTAAGGCAAGGTCCAATCCTACAATCAGTACTTGCAAGTTCAGAAGTTCACTGCAGAACCTAATGGACCCGATAGATTCAAAGGGTTAACCCTGTTGGTCTGCAGTTGCACCCGAGAGACCAACAAGATTTTGGGGGTCTCAGGGAGCTTTGACTGTTGAACATTTATTCCCCCGAAATCTTTTCGTTGAGAACAACAGTTTCCGTCCTAGTTGGCACCCTTTTCCGTTCCTGCTGCTTCTGGTATCTTCCTTGCCCTCCTCTCCCCTGCCTGCGAAGTAGCCAGCAGTCTGAAATTGGAGAAATTAGTACACGCCATCTGATCTGTTTGAAATATGTTATTAAGATTTCTTTTATTGTGATACGTTTTTATGAATGTTGGACATCGCCCAGAGCCCTGCATTAGTAAGGATTGGGCAGTTAACAAACGTAATGTTTGGTGTAGTGGTTAAGTGAAAGCCGAGCCGACAATAAGCCGAACCGGGAAAAAGAACAGCAAGTCCCTCCACTGGGTGCTGGTAGGGCAGTCCCCACCCCTGACTGTATGTGGCCATAGATAGGGATAAAGAGTAACTGTAAGCCGCTCAGAGACCCCTTGGGGGTTCGAGCGGGATACAAGCTGAAAGTATAAATAAATAAATAAATAAGTGCATGTACTCTAATCTGGGAGAACCGGGTTTGATTCCCCACTCCTCCACTCGCAGCTGCTGGATGACCTTGGGCAAGCCATAGTTCTGTCAGAGCTGTTCTTGAAAAAGAGCCCTTTCTGTCAAGAGCTCTCTCAGCCCCACCTACCTCACAGGGTGTCTGTTGGGGGGAGGGGAAGGGAAAGGAGTTTGTAAATTGCTCTGAGACTTCGAGTGAAGGGCAGGGTATAAATCTAATCTTTTCTTCTTCTTCTTCTTAATAAACAAATAAATAAATCTTGCTGTCCTATAAGGTGCTCCTGGACTCAAGTATATCCGTTCTTAATGGCTCCATTACTCTTTCCATCTTTTACAGTGAAAACAAAACAATCACAGCACTAGGATTTTAATGTTCCTATTTCTATTACATTTTTGTCTGTAACAACCTGGATTACGATTTCCAACAAAAAGAAGCATGGTTACACTTCACAAAACATAAATCAACAGTATTCAGTTCTGACGTATTACGTGTACTCACTAATTTTCTTCAATTATGTCTGATTTTGCTTCACGCAGCATTGGAACCACCTGTACTTTTAGAAGCTCCGCCGCTCCAAAGCCAAACAAGTGACTTCATAATCCTTCAGTGGCCCAGCTCAAAGAGTTGCCAGAGGTCATGACAGGTGGCTCATGTTAACTTAAGGCAGCATTATGAGAAGTATAAGTTTTAACCCTGCACGAGCTCTTTATTGAAATGAATGAGAACTCCATCACCCAGTAGACCATGGAAAACCTGAAATTCCTCACCCAGATCGTTCCATGAGCAGTAATAACTGTTAACTGATCGAGCCCATGGATTTTGAATAAATGCCACAAGTTCTACATGGGAAATCTACGTATTAATCAGAATGGTAGCTCACAGAACTCTGACCATCTCTGATTTTAGCACGCATACACTTTGGAGTATGTGCTTGAACACCGTGAATCTAGGGAGCAACATGAAGAGAACAATAATGGCTGGAAAATTCGAGACCATCCCTAGTTGTGATGCCTAAAGTTCTTAAGATCCCCCACTGAGATCTGAATGCGTAAGGCAAGATTGTTGGGACAGAAATGTTGGCATGTTCTGAAACTACGCAACCAAACAGAGGGAAGAGGTCCTCCAAACAAGGGGGAAAGGAAACAAGCATGAGTAATTATGTTTAATTAAGGATAAACTTAAACTTATGTTCTGAAACTGCAGCATCTGAACGAAGAATTAAATTATGAGTGACGTCACTCCACGCCTATATCAGATCAAGCAGTACACTGTTATTCAGTTGAACTTCTTTACTTCGTCTCCAAACTTCCACATGCTTTACCCTCTGGAAGTACAGATGTTCTTGCCTTTCATTGAACCACATGCCAAGCGACTAAGACTGTGGAATGGGCTACTTACCCATCCCTTTGGTATGGTTGAAATCTCCTTTCACCACTTTGCAGGTTTTGCCATCTCCGTTGCAGACTCCACAGCGGTCTTCTTTGGCAGCCGAGCCAATGATTCCATCACAGCCAATTTTCTAATAACAACAAGAGGTTCTGCATTACTTTGATGGAAAGGAGACGAGCCAAGAATCCAACCCGCAACAGAAAGAGAACGCCAGAAGTTAGAAGTAGCACTGGGCAGTACAAAGAAACAACTATTACATTAAAAAAATAATGTCAGGTGGGTAGCCATGTGAGGAAGTGTGTGTGTACGTGAAAGCTTATACCCATAATCAAACTTTGTTGGTCTTTAAGGTGCCACTGGACTCAAACATTGGAATGATTGTCATCAGAAGGAGACAATTCTGATCTACTAAATTTTTGTTGTTGTTCAGTCGCACAGTCGAGTCCGACTCTTCGCGACCCCATGGACCAGATCACACCAGGCCCTCCGGTCTTCCGCCGTCCTCTGAAGTTTGCTCAATTTCTGACCCCCCCCCCCCAAGCACCAAGATGACAGAGCATCACTTGCCCCAGAGTCCCTATCTATACCTTGTGGCTAATAGCCACTGATGGACCTCTGCTCCATATGCTTATCTAATTCCCTTTTGAAGCCGTCCATGCTTGTAGCTGCCACTATTTCCTGTGGCAGTGAATTCCAAGTGTTAATCCCTCTTTGGGTGAAGAAGTACTTCCTTTTATCTGTTCTAACCCGACCGCTCAGCAATTTCATGGAGTGCCCACGGGTTCTTGTATTGTGAGAAAGGGAGAAAAGTACCTCTTTCTCTACCTGCTCTTTCCCATGCATAATCTTATAAACCTCAATCATGTCACCCCTCAGTCGTCGTTTCTCCAAGCTAAAGAGCCCTAAGCGCCTTAACCTTTCCTCATAGGGAAAGTGTTCTTTGACCTTCAGTCTTTCCCAGCACCAGGGTCTTCTCCAGTGACTGCTCCCTTCTCATTTGGTGGCCAAAGTATCTGAGCTTCAGTTTCATTATCTGGCCTTCCAGGGAACAGTCAGGGTTAATTTCTTTTAGGATTGACTGATTGGATCTCCTTGCAGTCCAAGGGACTCTCAAGAGTCTTCTCCAGCACCATAGTTCAAAAGAATCTATTCTTCAGCGCTCGGCCTTCCTTATAGTCCAACTCTCGCAGTCATACATGACTACTAAATACTGATCTACTAAACGCTAACAAGAATCTCGCTAATTGGAAAAAAGGGAGCATATCCGAAACAAATGAAGCATATTAGGAGTCAGCTATAGCATGAGAATTATGGCTGTGCAGATTACCACATAGTTTCCATTTTGGGATATTTTTTTAAAGTAGCATTTATTTATTGCTATGGTCAGTGACCAGAGTAGTTAAACAACAAACAATTAACAATATTTCCATAATACAATCAATTAAGATCCTATAAAATCAAATAAAATGAAAAAGAAAAAAAATGCAAGCACATTTTCAAACAATAAATACCCTATATATAAAATTAACATAGTTTAATAGAATACAAGACAATTTCTTCTCCAACTAAGCATGGATAGATTTCGCTACTGAGCAAAATTTAGCTACCTCCTCTGTAATCTGATGGTATTTATCTGCTAGGAGGACAGTAAGATAAGATTCTTCTGTTCTTCCTGGGAATTTTTGTTGAACAGGGAAAAGCAGCTCACCTTGAAGATCTTTTTAAAAAGGACAATATGGAAGAATATACCCTATGGTTTCCATGTCCTGACTACTGCAGGGGCAGTTCTGTTCAAAATATGTTTTTTCCCCCAGTATCTCCTTATTTAACAACTCCAGAGGGAGAACACTAAATCGCACCTGATAAAAAACTAATCTGGGGTTATTTAGGACCAGTATTTCCAGTAGCTGCTGTTTTTATGGTGTTTCTCCCCAGCTGCAGACAGCATACTTCTGCTTTCTGGATGAGTCGCATGTATGCTTCTGATCCACCAGTGATCTCGCCGTGAATGCCATGATGTCACAGTGAGTCACAGCCAATCAGGTTTGGCTACATGTTGAGGGTAAAGGGGGTCAAACTGAGAGAGAATACCAAGGAATGGGCAAATCCTTTGTAAGTAGCACCAAAACATTATCAAGAAAGGGAAGATGTTTTTTTGACACTGCTGAAAACGTACACAAAAATCTGTGGACATTTTTTAAGGACAATCACCCATTTGCAGCTAATACAAGATGCATGCCTAGGTTTGAAATGTTCAAATCTATCAGAGTAGAAACGATGCTTATCTTCACTACCGCTAGACAATACAAACCTGACGAATTACGGAATTGTCATTCAATGAGCAAAGATTGGTACAGCTGCCAGAAGAGTCATGCCTGCACAGCTTGTGACCCCAACATGCTGAAGCCATTCAACGAGCTGCGTAATGTATGGTGGTTCATCAAGTGCTGCCTGCCTGGGATTGCAAAAACTACCACGACTGGGTGAAGGAGGAGGAAGAAGAGGAAGTAGAAGAAGAGGAGGAGATTGGATTTATACCTCACCCTTCACTCAGAGTCTCAGAGCAGCTTACAATCTCCTTTCCCTTCCTTTCCCCACAACAGACACCCTCTGAGGAAGGTGGGGCTGAGAGAGCTCTTCTGAGGACTGTTCATGAGAGAACAGCTCTGAGAGAACTTTAACTTACCCAAGCTCATACCAGCAGCTGCATGCGGAGGAGTGGGGAACCAAGCCAGGTTGGTGTGAGAGCCAGTTTGGTGTAGTGGTTAAGTGTGCGGACTCTAATCTGGGAGAACCGGGTTTGATTCCCCACGCCTCCACTTGCACCTGCTGATGTGACTTTGGGTCAGTCACAAGCTCTGGCACAGCTGTCCTTGAAAAAGAGCAGTTTGTGTCAGAGTTCTCTCAGCCCCACCCACCTCACAGGGTGTCTGTTGTGGGGAGGGGAAGGGAAAGGTGTTCGTAAGCCGCTCTGAGACTCCTTCTGGTAGTGAAGGGCGGGGTATAAATCCAATCTCTTCTTCTTGAAACCCAGTTTTCCACATTAGAGTCCGCCACTCTTAACCACTTCACTAAACTGGCTCTCACGCAAAAGGGCATCAGGATCACAGATATGCCCTCCCACCACATATATCAAGAGGCTTTGCTGACATGCGCGGTTAGTCATGCCCAATGGGTGTAAGGGTACCATCGATCAACGAGTCACTTCTCAGTCAAGAGGACGACTTTATTGAAAAGATGTTTCACTAACAAGGTTTCTGTTTAGAATGACATCTGAGGAATCAAGCAGGTAGTATGAAAGGAGTTCAAACAGCCTCTACACCAATGAGACATATTCCCGCCCGGGAATAAAGAAGCGCCAAAGTCCTGGGAATCCTAACGGTCTATGTAATCCCAAACATTTATGTGCCAGGCCTCTGAATAAAAGCAAAATCCAGCAGACTAAAGCAATCCTCCTTATCTCCCTCCTGCCCTTGAAGTGTTTTGCATTTCATTAACAAGCTACTCGTTTGTGAGCATGCACTTGGGATGCTAGGCAACAACTGTCAACATATGACCTATTACAGAAAGGAAAGTAGGGTTAAAGGAACTTACAGGTTAAGCATATATACATCTGATCAAACATGGCAGCTTGCTGACATTGGGCTGCTTTGCGGGCTGTAAGAAAAGCACCAAAACATCAAAAAGTGGGCAGAATCATTTTAAGTCTTGTGGGCAGTGTTCCCTCTAAGCTGAGTTAGTGTGAGCCAGCTCACAGTTTTTTAGCCTCCAGCTCACAGATTTTTGTCTCAGCTCAGGAAGGACGGCTCCAGAGCAAACTAATGTATGCAGTAGCCAAATGGCTCGCTCACAACTTTAATGCCGGTAGCTCACAAAGTAGAATTTTTGCTCACAAGACTCCACAGGTTAGAGGGAGCACTGCTTGTGGGTTTGGGGTTTTTTTGGTTGCCATTCATTTAGGCATAAGTAAAACCAGGCCCTACAGGAAATGTTCCAGTACTTTGTCTCGAACAAAGTACCAGCCCTAACCAGGATGGGGCAGGCTAGCTCACTCTCGTCAACTCTCAGAAGCTAAGCAAGGGCAGCCCTGGATATTACTTGGATGGGAGACCACCAAGGAAGTCCAGGGTTGCTATGCAGAGGCAGGAAATGGCAAACCTCCTCCGTTTGCCTTCTGCCTTGAACACCCTACAGCAGGGGTGTCAAACATGCGGCCTGGGGGCCGGATGAGGCCCCCGAAGGGCTTCTATCAGGCCCGCAGTGAAACTGGCTGTCTTCTGCTTCTTCTTCCAGTTCTGCTGCTGTTGCGTCATCGTAGGTTTGCACACCTGAACAGCATACTCAGGATTGCAAGAGCACAGACATTTTGATGCAATAATTCAGAGCAAGAGGCGTCGGTTATCAGACACTGTGTAATAAACAAAATATTGCAAGAGTGCTAATGTTTTAAGCATGTTTTTATTTTAAGTAAAAAAAAAACACCTTTGTGTTTGTGTCCTTTATAAAGTTTATATCTCCACTACCTGGCATTACATTTTATGACCCACATGGCCCGGCACAACAAAGTCTCATTTATGTCAGATCTGGCCCTCATAAAAAACGAGTTTGACACCCCTGCCCTACAGGGTCATCATAAATCAGCTGTGACTTGATGGCACTTTCCACCACCAATAAAGCACCAAGGCATACTGTTTCCCATCAGGGCAACCTGATTAACACTAAATGGTAGAATAAACGTCTTCCCCTGGAACAAGGTGACTTCACCTGGCCACCAGCCACACACAACAACTGGCCTTGTAGCAAAGACAAGGATCTTACCTCCTTTCACAAAGTTTCTGATCTTAATACATATGCAGTACCAAGGCACACAGTCAAAACTTTAAACTGGTATGTAACATCCATACAGATCCGGATTAGAAAGCAAGTGTTTGCAAGGCAGCAAGCCAAAGCAACAAGGGATCTATCATCAAGTTGAACACAACCCGCCAGCTATTTACTGGCTACGGGCCAAGAGCTTGGCAACTCTCTGCCTCCCCAAGGGGACAAAAAAAAACCAAACAGGAGGTTTAATGGGCCACCGCGCATGGTTTCAGCTTGTTGGGTCCCAAGTGGTTCAGGAAATCCTGGAAA